GGCTACAGTCACCGAATGCCGCATGGATCTGCGGCTCAACTAATTTACACACAGATAGGATAGTTTCTTATGTATTAGGATATTTAATATTAAGGTAAATAAATGGTGGCGAAGGTGTGTGGCTATTGGGGAGGCTGAGGCCACGTTTCTAAAAAAAAAAAAAAAAAAAAAAAAGTAGTAGTAGTAGTAGTAGTAGTAGTAGTAGAAACATTACCCATCATCGCTAAAATAATAAAATAAACTATCTACTCTCTATTCATTTTTCCCCAGAGTTGAGATTAAACAGCTCCAGTAATTTCATCTGACGAACTGAAACAAATCCTGGAATTATAGATGACTCTTGATTGGCCCGGGTCATCCCAACCACCTGTGGATGAACGAGAGGTCAGAGGTCAACTGGAGTCTGCCCCACTCGCACTCCCACTCTTTCCGTGTATGTTGGAATATGCGTGGGTGTGAATGAGAGGGAGGGACGGAAGGAGAGGGAGGGAGGAGTCAGAGGAAGAGAGGAGGGAGGGAGGTACAGAGTGGGAAGAGAGGGGAGGGAGGGAGTGTTATCAGAGTGGAAGAGAGGGAGGAGTGGGCGGTAGTCAGAGGGAAGAGAGGGAAGGAGGGAGGGCGTTAGTCAGAGTGGAAGAGAGGGAGGGAGGGCGTTAGTCAGAGGAAGAGAGGGAGGGAGGGCGTTAGTCAGAGGAAGAGAGAGGGAGGGAGGGCGTTAGTCAGAGGGAAGAGAGGGAGGGAGGGCGTTAGTCAGAGGGAAGAGAGGAGGAGGGCGTTAGTCAGAGGGAAGAGAGGAGGGAGGGAGGTGAGTTGGGGTCAGAGGGAAGAGGAGGGAGGGAGGGAGGGAAGGTCAGAGTGGGAAGAGAGGGAGGGAGGGCGTTAGTCAGAGGAAGAGAGGGAGGGGCGTTAGTCACAGAGGAAGAGAGGGGAGGGAGGGGAGGGAAGGGGTGGCAGAGTGAAGAGAGGAGGAGTGGGCGTTAGTCAGAGGGAAGAGAGGGGGGGAGGGCGTTAGTCAGAGTGGGAAGAGAGGGAGGGAGGGCGTTAGTCAGAGTGGGAAGAGAGGGGAGGAGTGGGCGTTAGCAGAGGAAGAGGAGGGAGGAGGGCGTTAGTCAATGTGGGATGAGAGGAAGGAATGAAAGGGAGAGAAAAGAGTTTGATAGGCGGAAGTGTATAATAATAATAATAATAATAATTAACGGTTTATTGAAAGAGCTTGGCAGCCAGAAGGCTGAAAATATACAGTTACATATTTGGGGAATGGGTTACGAATTACAAATAATATACAAGTGACATAAGTGACACAAATAAGACATATAGTAACTTAGATGGGGATCAGCTCAAAATAGTTCATTTCAACATAGTGACAGTGTAGGAGCAGTGTTTACTGGGAGTGAATACACTGATTTATTACATGTTATTGATAATTTTACAAGGTTGGGACTGGGCTGTTTTATAGCGATCAGTTCGTGCACGTATGGGCTGGATGCGGTTGTGGTGTCGAACAGCAATTTCGGACAGGGATCTCAGGTAGTAGGGGCCGGTGTCGGGGATGGTGTAGAAGCTTCTACAAATTTGCAGATGAGGCCGTGGTGATGGTCAGTGAGAGTCAGAAGGGTCAGTGTGTTGAGCGCTTGATATGTGAATGTATGTATGTATGTATGTATGTATGTATGTATGTATGTATGTATGTATGTATGTATGTATGTATGTATGTATAAACCTATTAATTAGTGATTTTCTTTTAATTTACACTGATACAATATACAAAAAAAACGAAAATCACCTTAATACATATTTGACTGGATACATAGATATACATTGCTTCAAGAAACATAGACAGCCTCACCAGTACACGACACGACACGACACACCACAGCACAAACACAACTCAACTCAACACAATACAACACAATAACACTGTATTCCATCATCGTCCTCCCAACACCAATTAGACTCTGATGTTAGTGACGATTTTTTCTTTATATATATATATATATATATATATATATATATATATATATATATATATATATATATATATATATATATATATATATATTTATTTATTTATTTTTGATTTTTTGATTTTACAAAACCCACAAATTTTTTTTTTCTTCGTATTTTGACAATTTTAACTCTTGCAAAAAAACTAGCATCTCAAAGCTAAAAAATAATACAAAGGATTTTTATTTTTTTGAGTCTTAGTAATTTGAGGTTTCCTTTTGGGTCTAATTCAATGTAGGAAAAAATATAATAAAATGTGTAGGATCAGAGAAAGAGGTAATAAAGTGATCGATTTTTTTACTTTTTAGTTTTTCTGTGGGGGCAGGGAGGGGAGGGGGTCAGGGGAGGGGCGGGGGCCGGGAGGGGGCGGGGGGTCAGGGAGGGGTGGGGATCAGGAGGACAAGGGCAGTAATTTTTTCGATTTATTCTTCAGAGGAAATTTCTCTACCGTGAATTAAACTCTTCTGAATTATATATTAATTTTTTTGTGCCTTTGATATTAATGATATTTTTCCTAACTCTTCTTCGGCTCTAAAGACTAATTTATTCTGATATTCTGGCATTAATAAATTATAAGATCAGTATAGGTAAAGAGTTAAGTTAGGTTAGGTTAGGTTAGGTTAGGTGTTCTAAAAGTTTAGTTGTTTTGTGTTGCTGTAGTGTTGACCCTCAAGACCATAGACATTTACCTGAATATTTACCTGTGTGTAAGTTCACGGGTTCAAAGTTGACGTAACACTGACTTTTGAACCTATACACACACACACACACACACACACACACACACACACACACACACACAGACACACACACCTTATCCTCTACAGAGTTGTGGCATTAACCATCTTCATCACAGGAGGGTAGCTGGCAGGATAGGTGAAGGATGGCAGGCAGGATATATAAAGGAAGTCTGGCAGGATAGGTGAAGGAAATTCAATTAAACTTTACTTGTCTACTTTGTGCTGGGTGGAACTTGAGAGAGAGAGAGGAGAGAGGAGAGAGAGAGAGAGAGAGACCTGCCTGGAGGAGGGGCCAGATGGACACTAAGAGAATGCACCCACCTCAGGGTATAGCAGCTGACACCTTCCACCACATGGCTCTTCCATTCCTCCACCATCACCTCCATCTTCACTACCTCCACCACTCCCTCCACCATCACCTCCATCTTCACTACCCTCACCATCACCTCCATCTTCACTACCTCCACCATTACCTCCACTACCTCTCCACCACTACTCCCAATACCTCAAGATTAATAAGAGAAAAAGAAAAAAGAGCATAAAACACGAAAGAAAGATAATAAGATAAAAAATAAAGAGGAAGAAAGAATAAGAGAACAAATTAATTTACAGATGAATCTAATCTAATCATAAGCACACATAATTAAGTGTGATTAGTATTTCAGTAATTATTAATGAAGTATGAAATTAGTGTGTGTGTGTGTGTGTGTGTGTGTGTGTGATCAATGAGTACCTTAACAGCTCACAAGAGAATTTTATAATGTCACTTTAACTTCTCATACACTTAACTCCTTACTTAAATTAACGTAACCTAACCTAACCTAAATTAACCTAACCTAACCTAACCTGTATCTAGATCACATTATAAACAATTTAGCTCACGATAATGGGAAAAATAAGGTGACTCTAATACCCAATTAAACCCCAATTTTATACTAATTTCGTTATCTTTTTAAGGCAACCCGTATCTAGACTTCATAAGATAACACACCTTGTGATTATGGAAAAAACCCGATTCTTATAACGAAATTTACATCAAACTCAACATCTCTTTAACATAACCTGTATCCAATTGCAAAAAAAAATCTTCTTCGTAATCTGGAAATAAAGTATATAATATCTATAGTTATTCCCCTTAAAAAATATAACCTCTTAAGGTTTATATAGATAAAGATAACTTGATTCAGATAATTACCTTTAATTATCTTATCTTTCATCATTGATTACCTGAGATACTCCCTTATTCAGATGATATTTTAAGACAAGCAACACGTATACTTGTGCTTGTTCTTATATAGTATTTCCATCGTATAACCTAACCTAACCTTACCTAGTCTAGTGCAACTCAACCTAAATTAACCTAACCCAACGGTGTAGAGTTAGGCAATTACTTCAATAATGAGTGAACTAGAGACTCCCTTCGATCGAACCTGTGAACCTTAGGACGGGAAGCGAGTATTATATCCACTCGACCTCCGCTCACTTCTTAATTACCAAAAAATGCGATACTAAATCTTTTAAGTAATTGGTGTCATTACAATCATAAGAGGAAGTGAATCACGTGTTGTTTGATTGGTCGGTAACTTCCGCGTGTGGCTGAGTACCGGATAATGGAAGTGGCGTCCCTTCCTTCAGGCGAGAGTTATGGTCGAAGATGCTAACTTCCTGCCAGGAGAGTACACTGATTTCTCTCGATAATCTCTCTCTCTCTCTCACTCTCTCCTATCTCTGTCACCCATTTTCTTCCATATCTCATTCGTTCTTTCACTGTCTATGTATATATATATGTCTGTCTGTCTGTCTGTCTGTCTGTCTGTCTGTCTGTCCCTTACCATTTTCATACTTCATTAAATCCTTCTGTCTATCTGTTTTCGTGTCTTTCTGTCTCACTCTCTTATTTAATTCATCGTCATCACCATCGCCATCGTCATCATCATCATCATCGTCATCATCATCAACTCATCATTGTCATCATCATCGTCATCATCATCATCATCATCATCATCGTCAACCTCGTCATCATCATCAGCATCGTCATCATCATCGTCATCATCATCATCGTCATCATCGTCATCATCATCATCATCATGTAACACAGACAGACGCACAGACTTCATTACCATTTCATCCCCATGATCACCATCGTCCTTTCAAAACACACACACACACACACACACACACACACACACACACACACACACACACACACACACACATACGACATCATCAAAGCCTCACATGAAACGGCATTTTGGATTATCCTGGCGGGTGCTCGGGTCCTGGTGGTGCCCTGGGTCCTGGTGGGTGCTCCGGGTCTGGTGGGTGCCCCGGGTCTGGTGGGTGGTCTGGTGGGTGCCCGGGTCTGGTGGGTGCCCTGGGTCTGGTGCCCGGGTCCTGGTGGGTGCCGGGTCCTGGTGCCCCGGGTCCTGGTGGGTGCCCAGGTCTGGTGGGTGCCCTGGGTCCTGGTGGGTGCCCGGGTCCTGGTGGGTGCCCCAGGTCCTGGTGGGTGCTCCGGGTCCTGGTGGGTGCCCCGGGTCTGGTGGTGCCCGGGTCTGGTGGGTGCTCCGGGTCTGGTGGGTGCCCGGGTCTGGTGGGTGCCAGGTCCTGGTGGGTGCTCCGGGTCCTGGTGGGTGCCCCGGGTCTGGTGGGTGCCCCGGGTCTGGTGGGTGCCCCAGGTCCTGGTGGGTGCCCAGGTCCTGGTGGGTGCCCCGGGTCTGGCAGGTGCTCCGGGTCCTGGCGGGTGCCCGGGTCCTGGGTGGGTGCCCGGGTCTGGTGGGTGCCCCGGGTCTGGTGGGTGCCCCGGGTCCTGGTGGTGCCCCAGGTCTGGTGGGTGCCCTGGGTCTGGTGGGTGCCCTGGGTCTGGTGGGTGCCCCGGGTCTGGTGGGTGCCCAGGTCTGGTGGGTGCCCAGGTCCTGGTGGGTGCCCCGGGTCCTGGTGGTGCCCGGGTCCTGGTGGGTGCCCTGGGTCTGGTGGGTGCCCTGGGTCCTGGTGGGTGCCCAGGTCCTGGTGGGTGCCCTGGTCTGGTGGGTGCCCTGGGTCCTGGTAGGTGCCCCGGGTCCTGGTGGGTGCCCCGGGTCCTGGTGGGTGCCCCGGGTCCTGGTGGGTGCCAGGTCCTGGTGGTGCCCCGGGTCCTGGTGGGTGCCCGGGTCTGGTGGGTGCCCGGGTCCTGGTGTGCCCGGGTCCTGGTGGGTGCTGGGTCCTGGTGGGTGCCCTGGGTCTGGTGGTGCTCCGGGTCCTGGTGGGTGCCCGGGTCCTGGTGGGTGCCCGGGTCGGTGGTGCCGGTCTGGGTGCCCCGGTCCTGGTGGGTGCCCTGGGTCCTGGTGGGTGCCCTGGGTCTGGTGGGTGCCCGGGTCTGGTGGTGCCCCGGGTCCTGGCAGGTGCCCTGGGTCCTGGTGGGTGCCGGGTCTGGTGGGGCCCCGGTGGTGGGTGCCCAGGTCTGGTGGGTGCCCCGGGTCCTGGTGGGTGCCCGGGTCCCAGTGGGTGCCCCAGGTCTGGTGGGTGCCCCGGGTCCTGGTGGGTGCCCTGGGTCCTGGTGGGTGCCCGGTCCTGGTGGGTGCCCCGGTCCTGGTGGGTGCCCGGGTCTGGCGGTGCCCGGGTCTGGTGGGTGCCCGGGTCCTGGTGGTGCCCAGGTCCTGGTGGGTGCCCGGGTCCTGGTGGGTGCCCCGGGTCCTGGTGGGTGCCCCGGGTCTGGTGGGTGCCCTGGGTCTGGTGGGTGCCCGGGTCTGGTGGGTGCCCAGGTCCTGGTGGGGCCCTGGGTCCTGGTGGGTGCCCCGGGTCTGGCAGGTGCCCTGGGTCCTGGTGGGTGCCCCGGTCCTGGCGGTGCCCTGGGTCTGGTGGTGCCCCGGGTCCTGGTGGGTGCCCTGGGTCCTGGTGGGTGCCCCGGGTCCTCAATTAGTGACTTCCAATTTCCGGCGCTCGCAGCCTCGTCTCATAAACCAATGCCCAAACACTCTTGCATAGTAAGAAGATTCCTGCGTGTCCGACTGTGTGTGTGTGTGGGGGGTGAAACTATTACCTTTTTCTTTGTTTTTTTATTCTGTGTTGGTTTCATTACTCTCTCTCTCTCTCTCTCTCTCTCTCTCTCTCTCTCTCTCTCTCTCTCGCCGTCTGAAGGTTTACCTGCCGAGGTGGACAGGATATCCCCACAAGCCAGGGCTCACAAGCGCGCCCCTCCCACCTGGCATCCCACGCCTTACCGCCAACCCAGACGACTCGTGGCCCCACGCCTCCTCTCTTCTGCCCTCCCGCCCACCCCTTCTCCCTCGCTTATCCTCCCACGCCTCCCTCCTGTTCTCTCACTCCTACTACTGGTCCAGCCACACACACACACCAGCGCAGCCCACACACGCCTTCCGCTTGCTTGCCGACCCGACACACCTAAATCCCTCCCCCACGCGCACACACACACACACACACACACACACACACACACACACACACACACCTCCGCCGACTCAAGTCCCTCGGAGTTCCTGCAAGAGCTCCTCAGTGTTTACTCAACATTCATACGTCCCAAGCTCACCTATGCCTCCCCTACCTGGTCTGCCTCCCTAAATGCCACACAACGTGCCTCCCCTACCTGGTCTTCCTCCCTAAATGCCACACAACGTAAACACCTAGAAAAAGTGCAAAAGAGGGCATGCAAGATTATTCTCTCCCCTTCCTACTCCACATATCAAGAAGCGCTCAACACACTGACCCTCTCGGCTCTCTCTGACCATCACCACGACCTCATCTGCAAATTTGGTGAGAAGCTTCTGCACCATCCTCGACACCGGCTCCTACTACCACCTGAGATCCCTAGCCAGAGGAATTGCTGTTCGACACCACAACCGCATCCAGCCCATACGAGCACGGACTGATCGCTATAAGAACAACCCAGTCCCAACCATTGTAAAGTTATCAATAACTTGTAATCAACCAGTGTATTCACTCCCAGTAAATACTACTTCTTGCACTGTCACTATGTTGAAATGCCCTGTAGTCTAGCTTCTCCCCACCTAGTTATTATATATCATATTTGTATCACTTATGTTACTTATATTTGTAAATCAAGAGCCATCCCCAATTATGTAACTGTATATTTTCAGCCTTCCGGCTGCCATGCTCTTTCAATAAACCGTTAATTATTAATATTATTATTATTATTATTATTATTATTATTATTATTATTATTATTATTATTATTACACCAGGAATTATCCGATCATGCCTACACACGCCTACGCATGACGCCTAGACGCACAAGCACACGCGTACACGCGCCTACACATGTCTACACGCGGCAACACACGTCTACACACGAACACACACGTCTACACACACCTACACAAGATTCCTGCGGCTACACACGCCTACACATGACGCCTACACGCGCCAACACACACCTGCACACGCCTACACACTGCTGCACACGCCTACACACACCTACACACGTCTACACATAACGCCTACACACGTCTATACATGACGTACGCAGCCTTACACACGTCTACACATCTACACACGTCTACATGCTTACACGTCTACATGCCTACACGTCTACGCCTACACGTCTACACACCTACGTCTACACATGCCTACGTCTACACACACACGCCTACACACGTCTACATGCCTACACACGTCTACACATGCCTACACACGTCTACACATGCCTACACACGTCTACACACATGCCTACACGTCTACACGCCTACACACGTCTACATGCCTACACACGTCTACACACATGCCTACACATGCCTACACACGTCTACACATGCCTACACGTCTACACATGCCTACATGCTACACGTCTACACATGCCACACGTCTACACATGCCTACACGCGTCTACACGCGCCTACACGTCTACACATGCCTACACGTCTACACGCCTACACACGTCTACACATGCCTACACACGTCTACACATGCCTACACGTCTACACATGCCTACACACGTCTGCGCCACACGTCTACATGCCTACACACGTCTACACGCCTACACACGTCACATGCCTACACATGCCTACACACGTCTACACATGCCTACACACGTCTACACATGCCTACACATGCCTACACACGTCTACACATGCCTACACACGTCTACACAACCATCATGTCTACACGTCTACACATCACTCTACACGCCTACACGTCTCCTCCACCCTGACCTTATCTCTGGCCTACTTCCTACAAGACTTGTCTGAGATGATAGTCTTACACACACACACACACACACACACACACAACACACACAACACACACACACACACACACACACACACACACACACACACACACACACCTTGACCTTACACTTTTGTCCTCACTTATCCCTTACTCCCCCACAAAGGTCTAGCCCTCCCCTCCTCCCCTTCCCTTCTTCTCTCCCCTAAACTGTTTCTCCCCCTCCGTAGTCAAGTCAGTCTCCCCCACCCCCCCCACCAGTCTTGACTGCTAATCTCCCCCTCCCTCCCTCCCCTCCCCTCCCTCACACCTTTCCCTACCCCACATGTGCCACTCTTCCCTAAATCTATCTATCCTATCTATCCTATATTATCCTAACTTCACAATAAGGAGGAGGGAGGAAAAAAGAAAGGAGGAGGAGGAGGAGGAGGAGGGAGGAGGAGGAGGAGGAGGAGGAAGAAGAGGAGGAAAACAGCTGTGAAAGAAGAAAAAGAAGAAGGTTAGCACCGAGTCAAGGAGCTGCTCTCAAAGGCTAATAATAATTGATACTTGAAGCTCAACCTGCAGACAGCAGACCTTAAAGACCTGCTGACATCCTGACCTGTTGGCTGACATCCTGATATGTGGTTGACATCCCTGACTTGCTGGCTGACATCCCTGGCCTGCTGGGTGTAGTGGCTGACATCCCTGACCTACTGGCTGACATCCCTGACCTACTGGCTGACATCCCTGGCCTGCTGGGTGTGAGCTGACATCCCTGACCTACTGGCTGACATCCCTGACCTACTGGCTGACATCCCTGACCTACTGTGACATCCCTGACCTACTGGCTGACATCCTGACCCTGGCTGACATCCCTGGCCTGCTGGGTGTAGTGGCTGACATCCTGACCTACTGGCTGACATCCCTGATCTACTGGCTGACATCCCTGGCCTGCTGGGTGTAGTGGCTGACATCCCTGACCTACTGGCTGACATCCCTGGCCTGCTGGGTGTAGTGGCTGACATCCCTGACCTACTGGCTGACATCCTTGGCCTGTCAATTGTAAAAGTTCACCTGCAAGTCATCACCACATCAACACCTCTCTCTCTCTCTCTCTCTCTCTCCTCCTACTGACAGGCCTGGCACTTGACATTATTAGGGACCTGCCACATTTACCATAGATAAATTGTACCGGGAATCCCCCACACCTCATCATTGTCACTTTATGTAACTTGCTGACAAAACCATGACCCTTCAGCCTTTGCCTTTAATGCATGAGTCATAAAGGCAAGCATGAATCCATGCTTCCCAGTTGGGCGCTGTAAACGCTTCTGCGCTTCACCTTGCACAGGATGTAAGGGGTGCCCAATAAACTAGCCTCTCGTGGGCAATCTGTAAATCTCTCTCTCTCTCTCTCTCTCTCTCTCTCTTTCTCTCCTATATGGACACTATATTATCTACAGTTATAATAAAGAACATAAGTTATTTACCTGATTTAAATGTGTGTGTGTGTGTGTGTGTGTGTGTGTGTGTGTGTGTGTGTGTGTGTGTGTGTGTGTGTGTGTGTGTGTGTGTGTGTGTGTGTGTGTGTGTGTGTGTGTGTGTGTGTGTGTGTGTGTGTGTGTGTGTGTGTGTGTGTGTGTGAAATGGATGGATGGATGATAGGCTGGATTAATGGATGGATGGATGGATGGATGATAGGCTGGATTAATGGATGGATTAATGGATTGGATGGATTGTGGTAAGATGGATGGATGGGGTCCTGGGAACAGGGGAGGGGGTGGGGAGGGAGAGGGAGGGAGGTAAGGAGGAGGGAAGAGGGGAGGAATTGACCCATCATAACTTGACTGGAGGTAATCTTGCTTAGGGAGGAGGAGGAGGAAGAAGAAGAAGAGGAAGAAGAGGAGGAGGAGGAAGAAGAAGAGGAGGAGGAGGAGGAGGAGGAGGAGGAGGGTGGGTGAGATGCTCCTTACCTGCGCCCACTTCTCGTGTAGTAATGAGGTAACAATGTACTCACCTGGTTACCATTACCTAAAACATAACCTCCAAAATATCTTAACATTTACTCAAGAAATAAAACAGCTCGATATTATCCTCCCACATATTTAACACATATTGAACACGTTATATTTCACCTGGTGTTAAATGATAATCAAATTGTTATGTTGCTTTTGGAGGTTGAGTCAAGAACTGAGGCAACATTCTAACACCAATACTTAGCGGGATAATATATCTTACCAACTATTTGAGAATCTAGACCCTAGGGAGAGAGGCAGAGAGGGAGGTAGGGTAACAGGCAGGGAGGGAGGTAGGGAGAGAGGCAGAGAGGGAGGTAGGGGTACAGGCAGGAGGGAGGTAAGGAGAGAGGAGGAGGGGAGGTAAGGAGAGAGGCAGGGGGGGAGATAAGGAGAGAGGCAGGGAGGAGGTAGGGTAACAGGCAGGAGGGAGGTAAGGAGAGAGGCAGGGGGGGAGGTAGGGAGAGAGGCAGGAGGAGATAAGGAGAGAGGGAGGGAGGTAGGGTAACAGGGGAGGGAGGTAGGGGAAGAGAGGCAGGGAGGGGAGGGGAGGGGAGGTAGGGGAGAGAGGCAGGGAGGGAGGTAGGGAGAGAGGCAGGGGAGGGAGGTAGGGGTAACAGGAGGAGGGAGGGGGGAGAGGCAGGGAGGGAGGTAGGGTAACAGGAAGGGAGGGGAGGGGAGAGAGACAGGGAGGGGAGGAGAGAGGCAGGGGAGGGAGGGGGTAACAGGCAGGGGAGGGAGGTAGGGAGAGAGGCAGGGAGGGAGGTAGGGAGAGAGGCAGGAGGGGAGGTGAGGAGAGGCAGGGAGGGAGGTAGGGAGAGGTAGGGGAGAGAGGCAGGGAGGAGGCAGGGAGGGAGTAGGGGTAACAGGCAGGGGAGGGAGGTAGGGGAGAGAGGCAGGGAGGGGAGGCAGGAGGGGAGGTAGGGGAGAGAGGCAGGAGGGAGGAAGGAGAGAGGCAGGGAGGGAGGTAGGTAACAGGCAGGGAGGAGGTAGGGAGAGAGGCAGGAGGGAGGAGGGAGGAGGGAGGAGAGGCAGGGAGGGAGGTAGGAGAGAGGGGAGGGGAGGAGGTAGGGTAACAGGCAGGAGGGAGGTGGGGAGAGGCAGGGGAGGAGGTGAGGGTAACAGGAAGGAGGGAGGTAGGGAGAGAGACAGAGGGAGGTAGGGAGAGAGGCAGGAGGGGAGGTGCAACAGGCAGGAGGGGAGGGAGGTAGGGGAGAGAGGCAGGGAGGGGAGGAGGGGGAGAGAGAGGCAGGGGAGGGAGGTGGGGAGAGAGGCAGGGAGGGAGGGGTAAGGGAGAGAGAGGCAGGGAGGGGAGGTAGGGAGAGAGGCAGGGAGGGAGGTGGGAGTAACAGGCAGGGGAGGGAGGTAGGGAGGGCAGGGAGGAGGTGGGGAGGGGGGAGGAGGTGGGGAGAGGGGCAGGGAGGGAGGTAGGGAGAGAGGCAGGGAGGAGGTGGGGTAACAGGCAGGGAGGGAGGGTGGGGAGGAGGGGAGGGGAGGAGTGGGAGGAAGGAGGGAGAGGTAGGGGAGAGAGACAGGGAGGGGAGGTAGGGAGAAAGAGAGAGCAGGGAGGGAGTCAGACATGAGGCGGGAGGGGAGGAGGTGGGGAAGAGAGCAGGGAGGGAGGAGGTAAGGGAGGAGGAGCAGGGAGGAGGTAGGGAGGAGCAGGGGAGGGGAGGAGTGGGGAGAAGGAGGAAGGGGGAGGGAGGTGAGATGGCTGAGAGCAGGGGAGGGAGGTAGGGTTAACAGGCAGGGGAGGGGAGGTAGGGGGGAGGAGAGAGCAGGGGAGGGAGGTGGGGAGAGAGCAGGGGAGGGAGGAGTGGAGGGAGAGAACAGGGGAGGGAGGAGTAGGGAGAGAGACAGGGGAGGGAGGTAAGGAAAGAGACAGAAAGGGGAGGGGGAGTGGGGAGGGGAGGAGGGAGGGGAGGTAGGTAACAGGCAGGGGAGAGTAGAGAGAGGCAGGGGAGGAGGCAGGGAGGGAGAGTGGGGAGAGGCAGGGAGGAGAGGGGAGGGAAGTGAGGGAGGAGGCAGGGAAGGAAGTAGAGGAAGAAGACAGGGGAAGGCCAGGAGAGAGAGGGAAGGAAGGTAGAGAAAGACAGGGAAGGAGATGAGTGGGCTTAGAGAGGAAGGTGGGGAGGCTAACAGGAGGGACGTGAGAATGAGGTGAAGGGGTGAAGAGAAGGAAGGAGGAGTGTAGAGAGAAACAGGGGAGAGGAAGGTAGGGGAGATTAACAAGCAGGGAGGAGGTGGGGAGTGGCAGGCAGGGAGGGAGAGTGGGAGTGGCAAGCAGGGAAGGAGAGTAAGGAGGAGGCAGGGGAGGGAGAGTAGGGTAACAGGCAGGGGAGGGAGGTAGGGAGAGGGGAGGAGGAGCAGGGGAGGGGAGAGCAGGGGAGGGAGGTCAGGTGGGACCAGGCAGGGGGAGGGAGGAGTGGGGAGAGAGGGCAGGGGAGGGGCAGGGGGGAGGGGGAGGAGTGGGGAGAGGGGGCAGGGGAGGGGAGGGTGGGGGTGGGGAATTGGAGCAGGGGAGGGGGAGACAGGTAGAGATGTGGGCAGGGGAGGGTAAGGGGAGAGGAGAAGAGGAGTAGGGAGAGAAGGGCAGGGAGGGAGTGTGAAAGAGGCAGGGGGGAGGGAGAGTAGGAGTGGAGACAGGCAGGGGAGGGAGGAGTAGGAGTAGCAGGAGGGGGAAGAAGAGGGAGGTGGGGAGAGGGGCAGGGGAGGGAGGTGGGGAGATGTGGGCAGGGGGGGAGGGTGGGGAGGAGGGCAGGGAGGGAGGGGTAGGGAAGAGGCAGAGAGTGGAGAGAGGCAGGAGGAGGTGTAACAGGCAGGAGGAGGGAGGGAGGAGAGGCAGGGGAGAGGGAGGTGGGGAGAGAGGCAGGGGAGGAAGGTAGAGATGGCAGGCAGGAGGGAGGTGAGGGAAGAGCAGGGGAGGGAGGTGGGGGAGGGAGTAGGGGAGGGAGGGAGAGTGGGAGGTAGGGAGAAGGAGGCAGGGGGAGGAAAAGGAAGGAGAGACAGGGGGAGGAGAGGCA